TGGCAGTCAAAGCAATCCTACCGTTTACAACAGCCTACCTGTGTGAAAGTGGCTTCTCCACCTTGGTACAGCTCAAGTCAAAGCAAAAGAACAGGTTGGACACTGAACCTGATCTGAGTACTCATGTTCAGTTCTGTCTACTGTCAGCTCAGACATCGAAACGCTTGTCAAAACTAAAGGACAGCTACAGCTATCTCATTAGCTCACTGTAAAATAAAATTTAGCTTTCATGTTAAGTGAAAATAGACTATAAAGCATTGTCATGTTGTGTTTGCAGTTCTGCATTCAGTTTCATACATATACAGCACCCTGTTGTGTTATTCGACTATTGTATTTATGTTGTGTTATGCAGCAGTTGTGGTGTTTGAGTTACATTTCCTCAATGCAGAAAAATCTGACACAAAGGATGTACTGACTATGTTTTTAAATGGTGCTTTATAATTTAATTTTTGTTTTGAATCTTGTCCTGGTGGGTCATGACTTGATAAGTGGGTCCCAGGGTGACACCAGTTGAGGACCACTGGTGTAGCTGACCCAGTAGGTCTTAATGAGCTTACATCTCTTATCCGCTGTAGCTCACTGATGGGAAAACCCAAACTGTTCCTCATACAGGTACTTGAATTTGTCTCTTTTCTTCCCCTCCTGCTCTATTTTACTTTGGGCTTTGCTGAAATATGTAGCCTCTGATCACTTTGTTTGTTCACATTGAGTAGGCCTGCAGAGCCACTCATGATGAAGGATGTGAAGTCAGACCAGCAGAGCTGTGTGCTGTGCTATAAAACAGGGAAGACTGAAAAACCATACAAAGGTTGACAATTTTTTTCCAAGTGTAGTCCAAATTCACAGAGGTTAAATTTTGTAGACTTTCTATACGTAGTACATTCATTTTTGGCTTTGTTTAGCACCTTTTAAACTGCCCTTGCCCCACTGTGTGTTTCAGTGTTAATTCATCCACAGGTTTCACACACCCTTTTGCCAGTTTAACAAAGCTGTGAGGACTTTGGTGACTAATTCACACAACAACTTCAACAAATGTACTGAAGGTTCAGTTCTAGCCATGAGCCAACATGTACAACACCAGGACCCAGGAACTAGTTCACCTATGACAACATGCCAAGCCAAAGTGTTGTGTGAGTGTGCACTGCCTTACAGATCTCTGGCTGTCGCTGTTGTGTGACAGCCACTGGTGGTGGTTAGCAGGTTTCCAAACATGGCAATGGTTTGGTTACTTGTAAAAGGAAAAAGATAAGAATTTGCATAATGTGTTTGAGATGTAGCCACAGTGGAGGCAAAGTCCACACACTGTGACATTTCACTGAACATAGATATAATCATCTACCACTATGGAAATGTCAGAGAAAAAGGCTTCCTGTAAACATGCCTCTTGGAGGCTTTTTTATGTGTGCATTGTGGGTCTGCTTTTTCCGTTTTCTTTTATGCCCAGTGCAAAACCGTCTTTAGACCACCCCTATTTATAATGACTATACATACTAGTATACATCTTATGGACTGAGGGATGGCTGGAAATACTTCATACCCGGAGTACAATGACCCCGCTAGGAGACATCTGCACTTACGCGAAATTGATTATGATTGATCTCTTGTTACCCATATCTCACAGTCTCCTGACTGAGTGTAGGACTTGTGTCTGGGTGTTTTACCCTTTCACACTCCCCTCCTTTGAAACTAAATATCAGGTCAACTCTTACTTTCTCCTATTTTTTTTACTGTATGAAATGTGCAAATCACTACTCTGTTTTAGCTGTATGTCCATTTTGTTTTATTCATCTCACACTACACAATATAACATTACAAACAACCCCTAATAATAATGGTTATGTCTTTTTAAATAGCTGTTTCACACCTCTGGAATTACTCTAACCTAATAAATAACTCAAGGACATCTGTTGTCTTATGTTTCTCACTCCCCTCATTTGATGGGCTTGGGGGCGGGACAACGATTCTGATTGGATAACCTTTCACCTAGAACTGTCAAATTAATTCTCATGAAAGCCGGTATCTATACTGTGTGTAATATTATAATGGCACATGTATCTTTATATTAGTTCATAAAGACGTAGTCTCTGAGCTGGAGCTTGTGTGTCCTAGGCTGGTGGTTCCTGTCTTTGTAGCAAGTGCTGTTTGTGGATTGGAGCAGATGTGAGCAGTTAACACACGTAGGTTTGGTCTTACACATGCACATCTGTATGCGAAAGGTTTGAGTAACAGTTCACATTTATGCCTCCTATAAAGACAATATGTAGCATGTATATATGCACTGTACTATGTTATACATCGGTGTGTAATCTTTCACTCAATGTTGTGTATTTATTCAATGTTTGAGAGGTGTGTCCTTGATGGTTCAAGCTAGGACCAGACAGGCAGATACTGTAGGTCACCATGACTTTTTGGGGAGCTTCAGTCTAGACTCCAGGTACATAAAAACATGTTTGAGTAGGGAATAGAGACACTTTTGATATCACGTACGCCATGATATGTGACACTTTGTAACGCACGCACGCACGCACACACACACTCTAATGATGATTAGAGAATGTCCACTAATGGTAATAAAGGTGCATAGAACAGGTTAAGCTAGAGTAGCGTACACAAAATTATAAATCAAGTGTAATATTACTACAAGAATTCAAAATGCCGATTTTCATGAAAACCAACTTAAAATGAACAATTTATTGTCATAATTACAACTTATTTAGCTCAATACAGAGACAACCAATGCAGCTTCACATTCAGATTTAGCTCTGGTTTGAATTATAGGAATGCTGAACAGTAGCTTATCATGGCTAGTCTGGCTTTCAGACACTATACGGTACAGAATGGAAATATTACTACTGCTGGATATTCCTGAGACAAATTAATAGAAACAGCTATTTGGTTGTATCCTATTATAAAAGTAAACAGAGTTAACATAAACATCCATCATCTATACATCTTGTCCCAAAAAAGGTCATGGTGGCATAGAGCCAATCCTAGGTGACATGAGGCAAGAGGCTGGGTCCACCCTGGACAGATCACCAGTCTATCACAGGGCTGACAGAGACAGACAACCACACACACTCTTACAGAAAACTCATAGTCACCAATCAACCTAAGCTGCATGTCTTTGGGCTGTGGGAGGAAGCTGGAGTACCCGGAGAGAACCCACGCAGGCACAGGAAGAACATGCAAACTCCGCACAGAAAGGCCCGAGGTCAAGCGGGGCTTGAACCCGGGACCTCATTGCCGTGAGGCGTTAACCACTGCATCACCATTCCACCCATGACATAGACATCTACCTAAAATTGCACCGCTGTAAACAAAAGGAGATGAAATGTAAACAAAAATTCTGCAACTTCAGTCAACCATGATCCAGTAGCAGCTGAATTGTTATACAGCTACATCATTCAAACCTGAGGATGGGAGACAGCAGAGTGAAGAGAGACTGAGTGCAATAATTTAAGTAAAACAAAAATACCTTTAAAATAAGAACAAACAAACAAACAAAAAAAGGCACATTTAAGCTCTGCTGAAAAAGGTACATTCAAAGATGCAAGCTTGACATGCCTGAAAAAGACTAGAAAAATATCATTTACTATAAGCAATACATGTAGAAAAAGTTTGACCCCCTGTAGCATCTTAAATCTCTTCAGGAAAAAGTAGTGGTGGCACAGAATCCAATCAAAATTGGCTTTTGGCATTCCGCTGCTGTTCTACTGGTATTTGCCACATAAAAATACCAAGTCAGCCATGCCTCAACAACAAAGGACACATCTCACCGTTACATATGTTGGCTAACACATTTCCACCAATACTCAGATACAGCACCTAAAACTATATCTTGTTAGGATCATTCATCGCCTGTAGGCTTCAAAGACAGCTGTGAAAACCTTACAGCTATTGTGTGTGTGTGTGTGTATATATACAGTATTGTTCAAAGTAATAGCAGTACAATGTGACTAACCAGAATAATCCAGGTTTTTAGTATATTTTTCATTGCTACATGGCAAACAAGTTACCAGTAGGTGCAGTAGATTCTCAGAAAACAAACAAGACCCAGCATTCATGATATGCACGCTCTTAAGGCTGTGCAATTGGGCAATTAGTTGAAAGGGGTGTGTTCAAAAAAATAGCAGCGCGGCATTCAATCAGTGAAGTTACAGTTTGCCAAAGAACACGTCAACTGGCCTAAAGAGAAATGGAGGAACATTTTGTGGACTGATGAGAGTAAAATTGTTCTTTTTGGGTCCAAGGGCCACAGACAGTTTGTGAGATGACCCCCAAACTCTGAATTCAAGCCACAGTACACAGTGAAGACAGTGAAG